CTAGTGCTAAGGCACTACCCTGATCTACATCCCGGTTCCTAGGCGCGTTGTACCATAAAATTTAGGGTCATGCTGTTTTGGGAATGAAAAGCCTAGAAAACTCCAAATTTGGAGAGAACGTGTAGGGAAGTATAAATAGAAAAAATGAGACACTTTTAAAGAGTTCGACACATTGAGAAAGCAAATATACAACGAGAGATCGAAGATCGCAATTCAAAGAGGAAAACATCAAGGAATTCAAGTTTAAAGCATTGATTGGAAGAGGAAGAAGATTTTGGTGCAAGATTAAATTCTTTTTTTACATCTTTAATCAAAGAATTCGGTGATGCATTCAAAGACAATTTTTAGTGTTTATTTTACATTATGAGTAACTAATTTTCATATTGGGGTAAACAATGTAATCGACGTATGATCCTTTATTCTTTTATTCAAGATTACTGTGATTTATTCATATATGTGTTGGTTTCACTATGAGTTTAATAAATTGAATTAATTGATCATTAATTTGATGATTATGTGAGTATCTTACGAATCGAGATGTCAGTTTGAGATTTAGACCACATAGTAAAATTCGATAAATTAGTATAACTTGTAGAGATACATATACTAATTACTGCGATCATAATATGAATTCTTACAACTAGTATTTCGTTTAACTAGTGTTGATTCATATAGTGATATGGAATTGAATTAATTAAATAGGCTCAATGAAACCTCGAGATAGGTAAATTGAATACCATAGAAGAATTCGATCGAACACTACAATAGGTTATGAATCTTGAATTAAGAATTAAAGGTGATCAATAGATGAAATTGTTATACCTTGATATTTTCCCATATTTGAATCTTCAATCGATCGTTGTGTGCAAAATTTTGATATTTTCAATTAGTTAGAAGTAGTTAGAAAAATAATCACTAGAATCACTAAACTTTATTATTTGTTTTCCATCAAATTGAAGTTAAGAATAATTGAATCAATTGTTAAATAGTGTTGATATTCAGACTCATAGGTCCACTATATTACTTGTTACGATCCGTACACTTGAGAGATATAAAAATTGACAACAGAAATTCCAGATGAGATTGGGAATTGCACTGAGTTAATTTCTATAGATTTGTCCTTGAATTTTTTGTCTGGCATTGTACCTTAGTCTATTGGAGCTTTGCTTGAGCTTCAAGAACTTATGTTCAGTGATAATAACATTTGGTTCGATTCCTACTGTTCTTTTAAATGCTAGAAGTCTTGTCCAATTGCTGCTCGATACGAATCAAATCTCGGGTTTGATTTCTTCTAAGCTTGGAAAATTGTCAAACCTTGAAGTGTTTTTGGCTTGGCAAAACCAACTTGAAGGGAGTATACCTTCAAGTTTGGCTAGTTGTAGCAACCTTCTAGCACCAGATTTGTCTCACAATTCGCTCATCAGTATTGTGCCTCCGTGTTTATTTCAACTACGAAACCTCATTAAGCTTTTATTGATATCTAATGATACCTTGGGTACTATACATTCAGAGATTGGTAACTGCAGTTCCCTAGTGAGACTTAGACTTGGAAATAATCGGATTATGGGTGGAATACCTAAAGAAATTGAATGGTTGAAAAGCTTAAATTTTCTTGATTTTTCTGGAAATCGACTTTATGGACTCGTGCCCGATGAAATTGGAAGTTGTACAGAGTTACAAATGGTGGACCTAAGTAATTAGAAGGTCCCATGCCTAGTTCCATGTCATCATAGTCTGAGCTTGAGTTTCTTGATGTTCCTAGTAACCGTATTTCAGGTCCTATTCCAATGAGTTTTGGTCATCTTATTTCATTGAACAAGCTAATGTTGAACAAGAATTCGTTCTCTGGATCAATACCTTCATTACTTAGCATCTGTTCCAGTCTCCAACTACTTGATTTTAGCAGTAATCAACTATCTGGTAGCATTCCTTTGGAGTTAATTAAAATTGAATTCCTTGAAATCACTCTCAACCTGAGTTGGAATGGACTCACGAGAGAAATACTGCCCAAATTTCTTCATTCAACTAGCTTTCGATATTAGACCTTGTGTACAACAAACTTCAGGGGGATTTGAGTTCTCTTGCCATCCTAGATAACTTCATCTCTCACAATGTCTCATATAATAATTTCACTAAGCTCTTTCGCCAGTTAACTACATCGGACCTCACTAGTAACCCATGCCTATGTGCTTTCAGAAGGGAATCGTGTTTCCTGGATAATGCTAAAGGACTAGGGTCGGCTTAACAAGGGAGTAAGATGAAAAGGTGGAGGGAGATCGAATTGGCAACTCTATTGCTCATTTCCATGATAATTGCATTGATGATAATTGAAATACTAGCAGTACTTCGAGCTTATAGAACTATTCGAGATTATGATGAATCAGAGATCAGAGATTCATTGCCTTGGCAATTCACCCCCGTTCTAGAAGCTCAAATTTTCGGTACAAGAAGTATTGAGATGTGTTGTAAAACAATCAAGATATCTAAATAGTTCTGATACCAATTGTTGTTAAACAGAGGATGTCTAAACCCACCTAGTAGAGTTGTTGATGGAGTAGGATACCATAAAATTGAGTCAAAAACAAATTTTAACTCCCAATTAGATTCCAAAATAGAATTTCAACATGATATAGGACTCAATAATATTCCAAATTTGAATTTTTCATGACGTGCATTTTAATTAGAATTCTTCAATTACTTCAACAAGGAATTCGGATCACACCCAAATTCTAACAATCTCCACCTTGACACAAACTTCACCAAAGAAGGAACTGACTTCTTCAACAATAACAAAAAAAATTAATTTTTCCAACCATACACAAAATATTCCACATCTTCTAATGAATCCAAACACTACTCTACAAAATTACCTTAGATTCCAAAAAATTATAATAATTTTATAATTTACCAAAATGGGCTGTAACACACCCAAAGCAGAATCAATACCAAATGCTTTTATAGAAGGCTTCTTGCTAGATTGCACACCTTCTACTCCACATAAAATATGCTCAACAAAATCAGCATCCACATACCTTTTTCCATTGGGTCCATCCCTAGCAATTGAATACAATGACACTGTAGGTGATGGTGACAAAACGGCATTATCCATATCTCCTGAACTCCACTGAACTATATTCTTCAAATCCGACATTTTATGGGCTCCTAAAGATATTGTACCAAACTGAATGTAGCTCTTCTAAATTTTGTACGACCCTACAAGATGTATAATTGAGACATTTTATGTGCCTCCAATACAATTTGAGCACCCTTACAAACCTTCAAAACTCCACTTCTACCAAAGAACTCATAACTTTTTGAATTAAGGATAGATAACGAAATGGGATTTTTTTTCAAATTTGGAACATGTGGAAACTGGTCAAGTGTTTTAATTTTCCCATCCAAAAGTTTCAATCTGACTGTGCCAATTTCAACAACTCGGCAAGATGCGTTGTTTCCCATGACCACGATACCTTTGGAAACAGTTTCATATGTAGTAAACAAGTCCTTATTAGGACACATATGAAACCCATATGCTGAATCAAGAATCCAATCATCTTCAAGTTAGACTCAATGTCGGAAATAGCTAAGAGTTCTCCATCACTTACAACATTCTCCACGACATCTGAAGTATCTGAATATCTACTTGTAACCATCCTTTCTTTATTCTACAATTTGTAGCAATCATTCTTTTAAGTGCCCCTTCTTCTTGCAGTAGTTACAAATTTGATTACTGAACTTAGATTTCGATCTGCCCATTCAAGAACTACCATGAGCAACCAGACATTCTCCATCTCTGGCCTCAGAAATTAGATGTTTCATCTTCTCTTTTGAATATAAAGTATCATACACTTCTTCTATGGTGAGAGTATCACGACTATACAAAATCGTCTCTAAATGAAGAAAACGAAGTGGGCAACGAACACAATATGATCAAGGCCAAATCTTCTTCATCATATTCTACTTTCAATGTTTCCAAATCAGCGACGATCTCCTTAAATACAGCTAGATGATCTTTCAATGATCCTCCTTCTGCCATTCGATGAGAATATAAACGCTGCTTGAGGTTCAACTTGCTTATTAGACTTTTATTCATGCACAATTGCTCCAACCATAAAGCAGTTGCTGAATTCTCTTTCAAAATGTCTTGAAGAATAGTATTTGATAGATGAAGATGAATGTGAGAAACTGCCTTATTATCCTTCCGTAATTTCTCTTCTATGGTCAAAGTTGCGGGCATCTTGTCCATTCCCAACAACGCATAATCCAAATCCAGTTGTACGAGTATTACACGTATCTTAACCTGCCATAGCGAAAATCTAGTGCTCCGATCCAAAAGTGGAATGTCATACTTCATCGAAGACATCACGAATAAAAAAACTCGAACAAATCAAACATTGAGATCTTGCGGAACTGCTGAACCTGAGGCTCTGATACCAATTGTTGCAAAACAATCAAGATACCAGAATAGCTTTGATATCGACTATTGTGGAACAAACCACCTGATTGAGATGTTGAAATTATATGACAAATAATAATGAAGTATTTAATCAGGCAAAAGAATAAAGAAGACAAGAATATGTCAAAGGAATTAAGAGATTTTATTGACTCGTGAATAATGGAGAATAGAGAAAATTATAATGGCTCCTACAATTCTAGTAATCTATTTTCTCATCTTATAAAATTATATAGAAGAGCACAACATTTACAGGGAATAAATAGGGGATGTTCAAACCCACCTAATAAGTTGTTGCTGAAGTAGAATGCCATAAAATTGAGTCCAAAGCAAATTTTAACTCCCAATGGAATTCCAAAATAGAACTTAAACATGACATAGGATTCCAATAATATTCCAAATTTGAATTCTTCATGATGTGCACTTCAATTAGAATTCTTCAATTACTTCAACAAAAAATTCGGGTCACACCCAAATTCTAACAAGATGCCTAATCGATTCTAATGTGATCGGAAAAGGATGTCTAGGAGTCACCTATCATTCAGATATGGACAATGGGGATGTCGTGGCATTTAAAAAACTATGGCCTGCAACTACTAGATGCAGTGATGAGAAGTCTGGAGTTTGTGATTCCTTCTCAGCCGAAGTGAAAACGCTTGGTTCAATTCGCCATAAGAACATTGTCAAGTTCTTGGGTTGTTATAGGAATAAAAGCACAAGATCACTCATGTATGATTATATGCCTAATGGGAGTTTAGACAGTCTACTACACGATAGGAATGGTACACTGTTAGAGTGGGAACTGAGGTATCTGATGCGGGCAGAATAGTAATTATTCTGTAGGCTAGTTTTACCAGCAAATTCACATGGAAGAATACAAGATTAACGCCGAAAAAATACAGACAATACGTCTCTGAAATTTAGAGAATTTTATTATATCACACAATCATCAAAATAAGTCCACAAGCCGGATTTTATAGCCGAAATTCGAATTTTACCAAAAATGGCAAAATTCCAAAAATCACGCTAAACGAAAATATGGAATAAAATAAGTATTCTACAANAATACGCCAAACGAAAATATAGAATAAAATAAGTATTCTGCAAAAAATCTAACCCAAATCGGGTTAAAAATCATCTCCTAACGTGCAATCGAAATATTACCAAAAATAGCAAAAAATAACTTAAAATAGCAATTCGAAAGGGAAAACAGCTGAATTTGAGGATGAAAACGACACATACTGAGCATAGTTAGGTGGCCACGACGTGCGCGCCGAAATGAGATTTTCGGATTGTGGTCATGATCGGGATTCTGATAACCGTATCCAAAGTTATGGCCAAATTACCGAAACACGACTTAATTACCAAAGTTACGCGATCACTTGCCACGATCTGCCAACTCATGATACCTTAGAGCCATTAGCATGTTATCGACAACTCAGCATCTGACTCGAACCCTCCTGCATCAGCCGCTCCAGGTTGGAAAGAACTCGTCCTCGAGTTCGGGGTAGTGTTATTAGAATCCATAAAACAAGGAATGAGGTGTTTCACATCAAAGACATTAGA